ATGGAGATAGACATGAGAAGAATGAACAAGAATTGGATGGAATTAGAAAGGAAGTTTCAGGACAGAGTGTGTTGGAGAATGCTTGTCGGCGGCCTATGCTCCATTAGGAGTAACAAGCGTAAACAAGTAAGTTCATTATAGCTTTAAACTTCTAGGTAGTTGGAATAAAATAGTAAGTAACTCAAGAACGACATCAATTGAAGCATCTTCCAATGATAGAATTTGAACTGATAAACTCTGTTTTGATGGCATTATGTAAATATGTTCTGTGTTCAACTGTAATATGTGGTTATGAATACGGATAGTTGAAGGGTTTCAAAGTCGGTCAAAATAATTATCTATTACTCCATAATTCTCAATAGTTCTTTAGACAATGATGCTTTGTGATGAAAATGTCTTCTAAAATTAAACAAAATTTTCCAAGAATCACTTCAATAAATATGATTATTCATAAAATATATTTAGAAATGTCATTGTTGTACTCAAAATTTATTATTGTCCAATATAACGAGTAAAGTACACCCATAATTATATTGTGTGGTTACATTTTTAGTTATTTCAGTAAAGGCATTATGATATTACATTACTTCATCTATTTAATACTATTGTATGAAATGCTGAACCAAATTATGATGATTATTAATTAAATATGATGTAATAAATAACTGATTCCAGATCGTATCCAAGATCAGTCAGTCAGTCAGCTACAATGCAGGACCAGACACATATATGCTTCGGTCCAAGTTGCCATACCTCATTAGCACGACAAGATGAACACCAAATTCACAAAGGTACTTAATCCAATGGTCGTGATATTTAAAAGAAAGATTGCATATAAGGACATAGTGCAGGAAGAAAGAATTAGTTGGTAGAAAGAGAGGTATAAAGTAATTTCAATCTCACAGTTTAAGGGAAGACAAAGAGTGTATACGCCAACATCATTGTGATCGATTGTGAGCCATGTCACACAGTCTCCAACCACTGGTTACAATAGTCACGTGGACCCTAACCAAGTAGTCTGCATCTACCAACATGGCTCAGACCAGAAGTTATTGACTTCAAGCACTGATGCCACGTTTTGGTTTAGTCGCCCCTAACTTTCTTTCAACCATCTCCAACACTTGTCAGCATTGAAGATCGTGAGATGATCGATCAATGAATTTTTATTGCTACAAAGTAAGGAAATTCCATATAAACATTAGCTTAATAAACAATTGATTTTTTTTCCTGCTCGTTAAATTTTCACATGAAGTGATCAGTGTGGCGTTAAAATGTTAGTAATTATTAATCTAGAAACTTAGCTCATTAGGGGAACGAATGTAAGGGAATTATGGAAGTCAAAAGCAGTTTTTGAAGGACATAGTTTACGTACGCTTTTTTATTTATTTATTAAACAACTAGCTTGTTGTGTATTCTACACAATCATCCCAATTGTAAGCTTTCATTCGACACAATAATCGTTGTTATATATTCCACTCTTCATAAATTATAATTGATTAACTAAGTAACCGTTACTCAATTATACATTACAAATATTCTGGTTCTTTACCTATTGAGATTTATTATACACAATGTATTGTGGTCTTACATATTATGTCTATAATTACATGAGTTTTGCTTCTGAATAATAAAAGACAATCAGCTGATCTTTCCTATAGATTAGGATTAGATGAATTTTACATAGGATTATTAATCATTTGGAATACATTCAGAATCAGATTTAACTGATTTAACGTCACTGATTTAGGTAAAAATCATACAATACGACTGTATTGAATTATTTGACATTAAGCGTACAAAAGTTAGGAAAGCAACCACAAGAATGCGTGTGGTAAACGAATATTCGAGCACTAACCTGAATAGTTGTCTAAAAGGGTAATACAAACAAAACAACAGCTCAATCCTCGAACACGTAGTCAGTTTAAATAACACCTCACCATATGAATCTCCACTCAAAATCATCTAAAAAGCAAAAAGAACTAGCTCAAAAAGGGTTTAGATGAAGAATTTTTCGCACAGCTCAGGCTATAGTAATTCAACGTTTCAAACACGAAACTCTGTGTACATAAGTCACATTACATCCTTTATTCACCCATGGTATTAGCACCTCTTTGAATCTTACAAATTATGATTGCTAATTACTACCTTCTTCTCTCTTTACTCCTTTATTAAATAGACAGTTATCTTTATTTTTTATGTTATAGATTATTACCTTGTATTAATTCCAAAAACTATTACATAACATAAGCTCTTGATGATTTTTGATTACGTTGCTAAATTATACAACACTTTTTATTCAATATTTAAGAAGTTGGATTACATTTCAATAACATTCTTCCATTCATAAATTATTATACTTAATACTTAAAATCTTTTGATAATCTTGACTCTGCTATGCAACACCAATTCATTTTTATTGACTTCCACCTGAATAAGCTTGTCTGTCTCTGATAATTTTAACTCCGGCTGAAGCCACTCTAGGGTCACTGTCGGTCGCAATTCCGGATAAAGGAGGAGGGTTGGGCAGCTTTAGAAAGTGACATCATCGTAAAGGAAGTTCGCTTCGCTGAAATGTTTTCATGTTTAATGAACCAATGATCTTTCGTCTTTTTTTCAAAATGATAACCTACAATTTTGATTTCTTTTTACATATTAAGGTGTTAATTAACTAGAAAACAATAACAATAGTAATTTAAGTAGAACAAAATGAAGTCATTTTTATTTTATCATGTTTTCATATACTACTTACAATTTGTAACATTATTTTACAGGACAAAAAAGATTTGTATTCTAGTTAAACTATATGAAAGATCGATGAACATTTGAAAAATATGTAGGAAACAACGATTAGTTAGAAAATTTTATTGATATAAATTGAAAAAAAATGTTTACAGTAATCACAATTGACAGAAAAAATCACGAATTCTTGATCTGCACTTTAAAGGAGATGATTATGATGATGATGCCACGGTACGGCCGAAAGTAGGGAGAGTCCCTTCTCCCTCTGTAAATGCTCTCACATAGCCACGCGTATACATCCTCTGCCGGGGAAGTCATACTCTCTGCCTTCTCGCACCACAGGTATTGTTTACGAAATTGAGAGGACGAAAAGTGAATGTCCGGCACTTTAACCGGGTTGGTGAACACGGAGAGTCCACCTAGGGAAGTTGGAAAACCCTGATTCCAAACCAATGGTCCACATGGGCTCTAGTATCCTGAGGGAACAAATGGCGTATGAACCAATCGTTGGTCACCGGCTATCATGGGACTGCATCTCCTCACGAGGGACCATCGAGTAATTAACACAGTTGTTAAGAAACGGGTACTAGGTAAGGATGGCAAATCAATTGATGAAGTAGTGAAACTTCATCAGTTGAGATGGCTGGGACACGTGTTACGTATGCCCAACGACCGACTGCCTCGACGTGCGATGTTTAGTGGTATAGGAGTAGATTGGAAGAAAGCTAGGGGCGGCCAGACCAAAACATGGCACAAGTCCATGAAGTCACTGACAAGTGGTCTGAGTCATGTTGATAGGTGTAGAATACCTGGTTGGGGACCGGGAGGTGATAGCAACCGATGGTTAGAGACCCTGAATAACGTGGCTCAAAATCGTTTGCAATGGCGCAGGTGCATCCACTCTTTGTGTTCTCCCAAATTCTAATCTTCTGAATTCTTCATGTCCCTTTTTTCCTCTTTCCAAATTTATTTCACTGAATTATACTCTTTAAATAACATCTCCAAACCCTAATCTTCCCGATCACTGTTTACACTCTTGCTACCTCTACCACTACGGGATTTGGATCGACAACTGCATCTCTGTGTTAAGGTGGTGTGGCAACTCGAACTGATGTACGTACGTACGAAGTTCTACGTTGTTACTGACTGATTGACTGACTGATCTCCTCACGATGCTCCACTGCCTTGTGGATCAGCCCTTTAGGTCGAAGGCTCCAGGTGTGACCCCCTAAGAAAACCACCTACTTCGGTTTGGGCACCCGGGCAGTATCACAGCCCGCACACATATCAGATGAGATTTGTGTAACGCATATGTACCTGGTGCCCCTTCGTACCAATATCTATGTGTTCAAATAAATAAAATAAATAATAAAATGATGATGATGATTTAGCGACAATCTGCAGACAGTTTAACACAGGATTATCCAGGACATATGTCTTAACCACATACATTATCTTGAAGAAAATAACATATTCTCTTAAACAATTGAAAATCTCCGGATAATCTTTTCAATATCAGTAATCGTTTATACAAAATTTACATGAATTTACCATGGAAGTTATATAGGTGGATCAGAAAGAAATAACCAATCTTAAATTCCACTAATATATTTCTAAAGATATTCAACTAGAATGAAGCTATTTGTTTTAAACGCTTAAAACCTGAATTATACATTCAATATGTAAACAATTTTCAGACTTTCTTTAACTTAGTAACTTAATTCGATGTGTTTTGTTTTTCACTGTCATTTAGTTATATCATAAAATCATTCATTTCTAGATCAAAATCTTATTTATAAATGGCTGAAATTCACAACTGTTGTTAACTTATGTTCGATTACTTCATAACATAATCAATTAATTTTGACCCTGTGATCTTTCTCGTCTGCCCTAATCGGTGATCTAGAACTTTTTTTCGAGTTATTTATATTTATAATATTGTACTCAACCATACTATTATGTTTACGTATTAAAAGTAATATAACGGTAGAATAAACACATTTCTTGTTAGTTGTCTTTGTGGTATATGTGATTGAATCATAAAACAAGAGAGTAGTTATATATTGATCTGGTTTAAGTATTGATTAGTTCACTTGAACTATTTATCTAGTAAAATTCTAATCTATTTTACTTCTATAAGCATGACAAATAGATTATATAAAATGTAGATAATGATAGGTTGTAAAGAGTTGATTAAGATCTGACGACAGAAAAGCAATTTAAGTTATTCAAAACAATGTGTAGTACATTTTCTCTTTTAATTAATAAAGAGAAATATGTGTATGATGATGATGATGATGATGATGATGATGATGATGATAATGATAATGATGATGATGATGATGATGATGATGATGATGATGATGATGATGATGATGATGATGATGATGATGATGATGATGATGATGATGATGATGATGATGATGATGATGATGATGATGATGATGATGATGATGATGATGATGATGATGATGATGATGATGATGATGATGATGATGATGATGATGATGATGATGATGATGATGATGATGATGATGATGATGATGATGATGATGATGATGATGATGATGATGATGATGATGATGATGATGATGATGATGATGATGATGATGATGATGATGATGATGATGATGATGATGATGATGATGATGATGATGATGATGATGATGATGATGATGATGATGATGATGATGATGATGATGATGATGATGATGATGATGATGATGATGATGATGATGATGATGATGATGATGATGATGATGATGATGATGATGATGATGATGATGATGATGATGATGATGATGATGATGATGATGATGATGATGATGATGATGATGATGATGATGATGATGATGATGATGATGATGATGATGATGATGATGATGATGATGATGATGATGATGATGATGATGATGATGATGATGATGATGATGATGATGATGATGATGATGATGATGATGATGATGATGATGATGATGATGATGATGATGATGATGATGATGATGATGATGATGATGATGATGATGATGATGATGATGATGATGATGATGATGATGATGATGATGATGATGATGATGATGATGATGATGATGATGTGATGATGATGATGATGATGATGATGATGATGATGATGATGATGATGATGATGATGATGATGATGATGATGATGATGATGATGATGATGATGATGATGATGATGATGATGATGATGATGATGATGATGATGATGATGATGATGATGATGATGATGATGATGATGATGATGATGATGATGATGATGATGATGATGATGATGATGATGATGATGATGATGATGATGATGATGATGATGATGATGATGATGATGATGATGATGATGATGATGATGATGATGATGATGATGATGATGATGATGATGATGATGATGATGATGATGATGATGATGATGATGATGATGATGATGATGATGATGATGATGATGATGATGATGATGATGATGATGATGATGATGATGATGATGATGATGATGATGATGATGATGATGATGATGATGATGATGATGATGATGATGATGATGATGATGATGATGATGATGATGATGATGATGATGATGATGATGATGATGATGATGATGATGATGATGATGATGATGATGATGATGATGATGATGATGATGATGATGATGATGATGATGATGATGATGATGATGATGATGATGATGATGATGATGATGATGATGATGATGATGATGATGATGATGATGATGATGATGATGATGATGATGATGATGATGATGATGATGATGATGATGATGATGATGATGATGATGATGATGATGATGATGATGATGATGATGATGATGATGATGATGATGATGATGATGATGATGATGATGATGATGATGATGATGATGATGATGATGATGATGATGATGATGATGATGATGATGATGATGATGATGATGATGATGATGATGATGATGATGATGATGATGATGATGATGATGATGATGATGATGATGATGATGATGATGATGATGATGATGATGATGATGATGATGATGATGATGATGATGATGATGATGATGATGATGATGATGATGATGATGATGATGATGATGATGATGATGATGATGATGATGATGATGATGATGATGATGATGATGATGATGATGATGATGATGATGATGATGATGATGATGATGAAAACTGAAAAACAAACAAACAAACAAACTGAGGTCAAATGTCATTTATAAATGAAATAATCAATAATCTATTGTTGTTTTGTTATTTCCACACAGAAGAATTTTTCAATAACCTTTGTTTGAAAGTTTAAAGGTTAATTTATTTACATTGAAATATAATTTAATTTAGTGAAAAGGAACAAGTTTGCTTTGTTTAAGAGAAAATGTTATAGAAAAAGCAATTCCTTTCTTTATTTTATTTAGACAAAGAAAAGTTAATCTAATTTATTTATCTTAATGCTAATAAAAGTTTAACTATATCAACTTAGTAATCAACTTTAAATGAGTAATTTCGTGCGATTGATGTCTCATAAATTTTAGTAAACTGAGAATAAAGAGTTTTGTAGAATATACTGAGTTCAATGTACTTCACATATGTGGTAGTGGTTACCGGAATGATGTCAGTTGGGCTACGACCGTAAACTAGGAAGCGTAAAATATAACAAGTTGTATTGTTCTAGTAAGGTATTCCTAAGCCGTATGCACTCATTACCTCTAGGTTCTGTAGATGAAGTGAATCTCTGATCAATATCACATATAAAATAAGCCAATCTCCATAGAAGCCCCTTGATCACTGTACGTCATTGGTTCCTCTTCAAATTCATAGAGACCCATAAGTTTAATTCGTTTAAAACATTCAAAACTTTGCAGATAATTAAGTGATTCATCATAGAACTGCACGTTATATGAGAGAGAATTTAAGAACCAATTTTAACTTATTGGCCTGACAGTTTTTCAATATTGGGAAAGATCATTTTACTGTAACATTTAACAATAACATCATAAGAATATAAGGAGATAAGAAAGTTTAGTTTGGTTTGAACTTACTGTATACCAATCATAATTAAGTAAAGACTGGAAACCACTAGTCATTCAAACTGTGTGTTTTTTGTAATCATCAAGGCAGCTAAATGTTAACCATTAATACTTCTTAAATAAACAGGTCAAGTTTTAACCTTTATTTAACTAGTGACCTTCCGTGAATCTCATATTATTTAAATTGTTTGTTAATTATTTCGAATACTCTAATTTCATACACTAATAGACCCGATAAGTTTAATCGAAATCGCGAATTAGACAACCAGTGAAAACCAGAAGGTAATGAATAGCTGCTGCATCATTATAGTGAACACTTCAGAAGTGAGCATCAATACTTTCATCAAGGATTGAATGAACCTTTATGACATATTTATTTCGTCTGGTGAAAAACTGTTTTAAAGAAGGTAATTAAATAAATTACAAAATGTTGGACTTTTTGTAAGTTACTTGTTTCTGTTTCATGAATATAAAATCATTTTTCTAATGGAAAATAGAGCATTATCCACGATAGGTATCAGGCGTAAGTTTATTTTGTCCCCCTTCCATATTCCTTCCAACTCGTCACATTATCTATTATCTCAGTGCATGTAACTGTTTCTCAAGATTAACAGAATTTTCGTAGTTTAAATCATGAACTGATTGTAGCCAGATTACCATCGATTTATCACTAAATTCACGTTGGTATGAGACAACTTCGTGGTTCTCATCTGAGATCCCGTACCTGGAAATCAAACACCAGGCCTTCTGTTTTGTAAAGGAACGCTTAACACCTAGAACACTGAATCCATATCTTGTATTTCTAATCTCTAACTTCAAGCAAATCACGGTACTAGGACGAAACAGCCTTCCAGTGCTTTTAGGTTTTCAACGATAATCTAACTTAGATCCGTTCATGATTAGAACTTTAGAAATCCTACAGTCTCCACAGATTCCTCTATCTTAACAAAATTGTTCTTTCTGTCATTTTTCTACTTTGTAATTAGAAGTTTTTAGAGCGTTAATCGTTGTTGATTTTTTTCCCTTAAATTAGATCTTTTTTATTCCAAGTCTTTCCATGAAACGAATTATACCTTCAAAGTCACTGATGTACAATTGATATGTCAAGAATTTATCAATGAAATAAGCAAAACAAAAATCATTTTCATGGATGACACATTAATAATCTCCTCTTTCTCTTTTTAATGTTAAGTAAATCTAGTCAGCTTATATTATGAATGTTTCATAGTATCCATCTTTTAAAGGCTTGCATCGAAAACATATTAAAAGAGGAATATCTATCATCTACTCATAATCTAAAATTAACGAATGCAACAGAAAATCTAATTCATTATTTGGCTTTTAACTTTGTAACCAAATGATGAGTTTGCTACTTCAAAGGCTGCCTATCTCCTGTCTATCATGACAACATGCTAATTTTCCAATATTGTTTTCTGTTTCATATAACGTGTCGATTTTAATTATCTAAATTGACTGGGATAGAATACGCATTGAGTAAAGCACCCAACTGTGTCATAAGGCAAACCATCACATGGAATCTTCAAAGCCATAAGAGAAGAGGAAGATCATAGAACACATTACGCCGAGAAATGGAGACAGACATGAGAAGGATGAACAACAGTTGGATAGAACTAGAAAGGAAGGACCAAGACAGAGTGGGTTGAAGAATGATGATCGGCGGCCTATACTCCATTGGGAGTAACATGCGTAAATAAGTAAGTAAGGGAATCCTTCTGTCTCTTTGTTATTTCTCCTTTAATGAATTTTAACAAGATGAAATGGTAAAGTGTTTGGATCTTCAGATAGGATGAAACGTGAATCCTGAATTCTACTGCTAGCCATCATCTAAATGCTTAAAATGTAAACCGATCCGTTCAGGATGCAGATATATAAAAAAAATAGACTGATCAATTAAAGTTCATAATATCAACGGTAAGATTTAAACAACCGATACAAGTAAATTCAATTTATATTTTGTTTAATAGTTGAATTCATGAGTCAATTGAAGTTAGATCATCATGGATAACCTAGAAGCACTAGACTCATAAATTCAACTATCAAACTACTAAAATCTCCACAAAATCCTCTCCTCATAACAATCACCATGTGCTTACTAGTGACTGGCTTCAAGAGGTATTTCTTGGAGTTCTAGTGAGAAGCCATGACCAGTGGGGTTCAGCCGGGTCTGTTGTGAGATAGTAACTCACTAAAGACAATGGTGGACAGTGGCGCAATTTCGTGAATTGGTTGAAATTAGACATTAACATCGCTGGATGGTCTAGAGGTTAAGGGTTTTTGAGCGAGACTGACATGTCCAAAATTCGAATCCCGCTAATTTGATCTTGGATGCGCACTGCTGATGAGTTTCATATTAGGGCGAAACGACTGCTGAGTGCTTCCAGGTCTTCCATGGTGGTTTAGCTTCAATTGACCATGAGCTCAACTATTAAATTACTAAAAACTCAACAAAAACCTATTCTGATATCTATATTTTGTTGTTAAAAGGTTGAACTCCAACAATATTAAACCGAATTTTATAATCTTTGATATTCAAAAAGAAAATCAACTTTTATTAAGTATCAAAACAAATTCAAAGTAGTTTTCTGACTTTTGAGAAACATTCCTTTGTGATAATTACAATGTTGTTGGTTAATGTAAATCCTCTTTTCATTCTGCACACTCATTTCACATACATATCATTCATTTTACTGTAGCTATTACAGGCAATGAAATGACAGAAAATTCTATGTTCATAAACTGTCAATTGTTTAACAGACTCCTTTCGTACTAGTAATCCTACACCTTTAAATATCTCGCTAAAAATATCATCAACCTTACTGTTCAGAATGTGCATATGAGATGAAATGATTGTGGTAATAAGAATCGTAAATTCATGCTTGAATTAAGAAAAATTACTTGAATTCATTATATCTGAAGGCTTCGTGTTAGCTACAAGTGGCGCTGAAGAATTTTCTGCATGTAATCATTCTAATCCATTATGACGACATCTGTATCTGTGTTTCGTCCTAACACAGCAGCATTATCATACTGTTGCAGATATTTCGATGCCGACTAATGTTACTTCATCAAAATCTTCGAATGTGGGAACGTAGAAGTTAGATATTGATTTGAAATACCAACTAACTTATTTTCAAACCATGTATTTTTGTCCTCATCTATGGGTTTCAAATTAGAAACTTAGTGGCGTAGATTTTCAGATTGGTTTTGTAAATATATCTTGTTGAAATTCTTATTAGGAATGTTGAATCTAAGTCTAAGGGATAACGCTTGAATTTCAATTTTATTCAGCTTTGTATTTGATAAGTTAAAAATATATTCCATGAATGTACTTTCGACAGATTTGGATTTATTTCTTTATAGTTCGTATATGGTTTTGTTAAATAATATGTTTACCCCACTTGTTCCTTATGTCTTTTAAACTAAAATTCATTGATTACGGTATATAATAAAACATTTGAATAATAATACTACTACTGTAGATTAAAGCCGTTCTCAACCGATGAGAAGCCTTGAAATAAAACGAATTCACGTTCTTATACAAATTTTTTTCTTTCCGGTTTGTTTAAATTTATCAAGGCATCAAACTGTATTGAAAATTACCGTTTATCAGTTTAGGGTTGGGGAGATTGTTGAATTTTCTTGAAATTATGAACTGATCATTGTTAGACTACCAGATAAAATCTAGAAGCACTGGATGGACGTTCTGTTCCAGTATGTGACCCTTCAGCAGTGCGCTTCTACGACCTCACATGCAGAAATCGAACCCAGGACCTTCGGTCTCGCTCGCGATCTCTTATTCTCTAGACCACTGAGCCGGCGTTCAAAAGTGTTAATGTCTAACTTCTCATTCTTATTACATGGACAACTTTTTAGTAGTAAATAACAGTAATCAATTGTTTCAGTTTAGTTGAAGACTTTTCAGCAGTATCTATTCTAAATTTTATATTTTATATAAAAGATACCGATCAATGCAGAATCTTTTTTTAAACTTTATTTATTTTTGTATCGTTTGCTTGATTCTTTCCATTGATGTTTAGGACTGGGATATAGTTTCAAGCGGATGGTACTGGGTTCGAGTTCCTGAGTGAACACCAACTCCAGGATGCAGGCACATCCAAATGACGAGTCCGAAGTAGAACGAAACGAGCGTCCCACATCCCACTGCTAGCGACCATCGTCTCGGTTCATTTGAAGGATTTTCAATTAGAAGAGCTACGAAACCTCAAGTTGAAAGTCGAGATTATTCGGAAGTCACAAGGCCAATGTCTCTTATGATAAACAGTACAATAATTAACATATATGTATGAAATGTTTGGACAATGTGGGAGACCAGGAAAACCAAGCGAATAGCTACAGAAATGAGGAGATACAGTTCGGCGACTTTCAGAATCAGTGAATCCATTTCGCCAAAACTTGACAGCAAAGGTTAGATTCGAGACAGATGCCATAGTACTCTGGTCACGAGTAAGACAACGCTCCGCAAACTCAGTCAGTTGCTTTGATTTCGTCCAAAGAAGCTCGAAATCACTTGTTGGATGGGTATCTCATCAACCCAGGACCGTCCAAGCATCCTTCAATACAACGAAGGGAGGGATTAAAATAAATGTTATTCAATGTTGTGCACCCACCAACGATACCAATGAAGACGACAAAGATCAATCAATCATAGTGAAGTGCTCAGGAAAAAACCTAACCATCCTGATGGGAGACCTGAACGCCGAAATCTGAATGCACGATATCGAGTATGAAGATATAATGGAACGATATGGATTGACTGTGGGAAACAAACTAGAATGGTGAGAGATTTGCAAATTTATGTGCGTTCAACAAATTGTTATACGTGGCACAATATTCCCATACACAGACGAATACATTAAGCTACATAGGTGTGACTGGATCACACTTCACACAACCAGATAGACAATATTTATATCAGTAAAAAATTTATGAAATCAATGGTAGGCGTGAGAACGTGGGTGGAGCTGACATAGCCTCAGATCACCACCAACTGGTGGTTGTGAAGATGAAACTGAAGT